CACCACAGCAGTAAGCACCCACCCATTCCCAAGCCCTCCCAGGACATCCAGACAGGGAAAACGGTGCTCCTAGGTCTTCCAGGAACACCAGCAATGACCTGAAGTGCGCACCCTCAGCTCCTGCTGCTTGCGTCAACATCTGGCTCCAAATTCTGCCCTAATGTATCTCAGACAGCTGTTATGTCTGGCTTTCACCAACAGTTTGCGAATATACCCTGGGCAGGACATGAAGTTCAGCGGACTGCTTTTTGGAAAAAACCCAAATTAAAGCCCCACCAAGGAGAATAAGCAGAGGAAAGGAACTTTTCAGTCCTAGAAATATTCACACTCTGTGTGAGACACTGATTGGTTTTGGCCCTGGTTGAGAGTGCTGAAGCTAGAAGGTGGTGAGTAAAGAATACAGTCACCAACTCACTAAAAATTTAGAACCTGTGAAAGGAATTATTCGCTGCGTACCAAGAGCAACAACCCAGCTTCTTGGCTAACTAACAAATTAACAGTGAGAGGTGTAAAAGAAGCAGGAAGAGGAAATGAGCAGGACAAAAGAAAGGCTGGTTTAACCACCTTGGCTGGACAGACATGCAGCCAAGACCTGTTTTACTGCTCTAGGGCTGTAAAGTTCCTATGCTTCTGCCCCTGTCAGTTTGTTTCCGTAACACTGCCAGGAGGTGATTTTAGTTCAGTTGTTTTATTTGATAATCCCAGTCTCTATGGTGGAGGAAATCATGCAACATATCATTCTTCTTAGGCAACCTCTAGGTTTCAACAGCCACAGACGATACACAGGCCTTCAGTCATCTGTGTTTGGATGCAAAAGCACTTTAAGATTATTAGATGAAAACCAAAAGGATTAAAAATACTCATTAAAACAAACCAACAAACAAAAAAAATCCACCAGAAAAAAAAAATCTGTGTTTTAGTAGCAAATATCAGCCTTCTTCTGTACCTTCTTCTGTACCTATCAGGCTACTTTTGTGCTTTCTGGCAAAGTATGTCCAAGATGACCTCAGTAACACTCTCCCATCTCAATGTCTATGATCCTACTATTTTCCCTTTAACAGTATGAGTGAAAGGTGCTGTGATACTGTTCAATAAACCAACACAGATACCGACTGCAGAATGCACGCTCCTGTAAACGTATGCGAACGCCAAAAGATCCTAAATACCAGACAGCTAAAGAACACTGCGCAGGAGTGCAGTGCCAACAAAGATGACCATAAACACTGCTAACCAACGGGCAAGGTGAAAAAGCAAAGCCAACTGGTCTCTTATCCATTTCTTTTAAGTAGCTCACAAACTATTAAATACATAACCACCTTTTAAAACATACCAGTTTCTTTATTCTGGCACGTGGAATTCATATGTTCCTTTATTTTGGCACATGGAAGGAATGAGGTAAGGGTGACTGATGAAGTCTCTCAGCAGCTTCAATTTCTGACCAGTGTTGATAGCACTGCAGACCACAACATCTGCAACGCGAACTATATCACTGTGCATAGAAGCTATTTGATGCAATATATCTCAGTTCTTGCAGAAGGATGACAAGCTTGCAACAGCAGGAAAATATTATCTTCAAAAATATTTTTCTCCCTTTAAAAAATCCTTGAATACTATCCTAATCATGTATCTGTACATCTTCCTGCAAGACTGTGCTAACAGTTACACTAACATGGGAAATACTAAAGCCACAAGTTGAACATTTCTTTCCTTACACATTTTTAATGATCTGCTGAAAAATTCTCTTCATTATGTGTTCATCCCTAACAGAAACAGAGCAGGAACTCCAAGCATCATCACGCCGCCCCCGCCCCACAAAGTTACATGGGAGTTTGTCATCCATTTAATACACTTTAGAAAAGAAAAACAGCTTGCTATGTCAAGAGAGAGAATACGCCGCCCCCGCCCCACAAAGTAACATGGGAGTTTGTCATTTGTTTAATACACTTTAGAAAAACAGCTTGCTATGTCAAGAGAGAGAAATTGTTGTAGTTGTTTTCACAAAGAATACATTCTTGCCTTTATCTACAGACTGATAATAACAATCATGACATTTAAAGGAATGAGAAAATTGTATTACCTTTACTATCAATCCCTTTGAGTCAACCATCCATATTCTTTTGATAGCTGCATCTTTAGATACCCCTTCCTTTTCCATAGCCATAACAATGAGGTTTGCTATCCCCAGGGCAGCCTGAAGGGCAGAGAAGAAAAGCAATATATGAAACTAGAAATGAAAGAAATCCCCTGCTCACTGGTTTTCTCTACCCACTATTTAAGGTAAGTTTCTTAATTTTATTTCGTGATAAAACTGAATCATTATTTTTTCATAAAGTGAACGCTAATGAACTCTTGCTACCATTTGGTAATTAGAAACCACAGTGTACATAAATAGTATAGATAAATCTTAAGTCATATAGGTCAATCACAGTATAGATAAATCTTAAGAAGGCATTTACAGTGTGGAGAACATAATAAACGTTGAAACTCTAACAAAAAATGCTGAAACTAACATTTATTCCACATAATCATCTCAGAATACATTAAATATTTTTTCTTCTTTGAAATTTTATTTTATTCATTAGATTTTTTTTTTATTTAAACCAAAGGAAACGAAACTCTGCATGCCAGAAAGTAAAATACAGTCCTGAAATATTTTTTACTTTTATATTTTTTTAAAATGTCTATTGAGAAGGTAAGTCTCCTTTTACCTACTGTTCATGTGGTTTGTATCTCTAGACTTGGCTGTGCTCCCAGTGAAAACAGGGGTGAGAAAAATTCACTTATCAATATTTTGCTGAAACATGTTTCATTCTTATGGATTTTATATTTCATCCAACAGATCAAACATCATACAGGTAGAGATTGAAAAACAGGCAGCAAAATGAGCCAACAGACCACTCAGTATTTCTCATTACCAACTCATATACATATTTATGGGGTTGATTCTGTTTCTTGTTCTTTATTATTCAGTTTTACCAGTTCCCCTTTTTTAGTTAAGAAATAAATAGTTGTATTAGGCATGGGCTGCTGCAGCAGGGATGATATCTACCATTACCTCTTTGCAGCAACAGGCACACTGACAATACTAACTAAACAATACTAACTAAAAAGAATAAACATTAGACCATGAATTTATCTGTCTGTAGAATATGGAGCAAAATCAAGGGAAGGAACTTCAGAGAGACAGACAGTCTTGATGTACAAAGGCGTTGACATGCTAGATATGGATGGAAGTCATTCTGAAAACTACACACCTGATCTCAGTAGCACCAACTATTGAATCAAAGTAAAGATATCCGGTGTATACACAAAGCTGGATTAGTATATTGCACCTACAGGGGGGTTTGGTGGCCATGAATAATATTTTTGAGAAGCCTGCATGGGGTTGTAGACTTCATACAAGGGATGACAGCTAGCCACACTGTAGATAAATACAATATTCACTCGTGTGTCAATGGCTTAGAAATTTATACTAAAAAAATAGTATCAAAAAATAACGTGCGTAAAAACCTTCATAAATGTATGATTTTGACATGCAGAATATTGAAAAACTGTATTTAATGACAGGAAAAATCAAGGGGGCACTGCTTCTTACTAAATAACACTAACTCTGCTAAATACATTTTATTTAATTTCTTTTTGGTGGCCTGATGTATATCCTTATCTTTCCAAAAAGTTTTGTTTGTTTTTTTTCATATTGAGAGCAGTTCAGCAATTTACAGCTAAAGAGCTAAAACCTGAAATTTAAAAAAAAAGAACAGATCTCTGCCAAACATCTAATGAAAAATATGAGGCTTGACGAGATGATCACAGATTTTTCTGTAAGTTTACATCTGAATTAAGAACCAACTTTCAGCAGGTACTAGTGATCATTCTACCCATTTAATCTTCTTGTTATCAGGATACATATAACTTGATTAAACATTAAGAAAAATCTTCACAGTATAATTTTTCCTGATGTAAAAAACACACACCTCTCCAGCTCCCTGGAACAACACTGTGTGATCTGATAACCTGTTCTTGGTGATACGCAGAGCTGCAAGAAGACCTGCAACAGCCACAGATGCAGTTCCTGAAATAAATTTTTAAAAAGAATATATTTGGTTATTCTGGAAATAATTACAAAGCATTATATTTTAAATAATTCCACAGCATCTTCTGGCTAAATGATACAAGTACTTAGGGTAGTAACAAAAAGTTCAGTGGAATTGGAGTTTTCTCTACTTTATTCTTATGAAAGTTAAATGTAGGTGGGAATAACTTCAGAGTAACACTAAATAAAATATGATTGATTGATTCTACTGGATGGGCATCATGGCTGGGGCATTCAAACTGTTACAAAATATTCTGGTTATGACCTTTTTCAGGAGGAAAGGATGTGAGAGCCCAAACAGAAGTACTCTGAAGGACCCCAGATACTGAAAATTAAGATATTGGTCTCATTCTTTAAATAGATATACTTCAAATAGAGTAAAACCAAGACTAAAATAAAACTTTATTTCTCATGGGGAGGTTTTCAAAGTAGAAGAGCAAACTGCGAATATTTACAGAGAAGCTGAGCTAGCTAAAAGAGTAAGGCCAGCTTGTTTAAGACACTGACTGTCCTCCTGCGTCTGAAAGCCCTCAGGACTCCAGTCCACTGTGAAAGGGGTTCCAGCATACTGGCATCTAAAACATTGGAAGTACCTTTTAAATCTATCTTTGAGTTATGCCACACAGGGAAAAAGGTTGACATTTAGTTATCATTTAGCCTGTGGAGACCTTTCTTCTCCAAATCAGAACCACAAAGAATGAGATACCTGTCTGCCTTTGAATGGAAATATTTTGGTCCTCTTGAGAAACACCTATTAATAAGAAGTAGGGCAGTAAAGGGATCTCAAGCAGGGATCTAACCCAAACCTGTTCACTGGCAGGATCAACCATACTGTGATTTCTGACCAATCTTTGTCTAACTTGTTCCTAACATCTTCTTTCGAATACTCCTGTGATCTCCTCATCAAGTGCTTCAATATACTTTTTGTTGAAAATTTCAAATCTTGTCTTATCTACCACTGAAAAACCCGGTCTTTTCTCTTTGCAACAAGATCTATATTATATTTGAAGACTAACAGCATCCTAACCTGCTTTTCCTACGTGGAACAATCCCAATTCTTCCACTCATTCAGAATAAGTTCTGTTTTCTAAAGCACTTAGTGCTAATTTCTCTCTTTTGGACTTTATCCATTTGTTTCTTCTATCTTTCTTGAATTGCAGCACCCAAATCTATACAGAGCACTGCAGTTGAACTGTTAGCAACGCAGAGTCTAGCTGTCAGCTTCTGTCATGCAGAAGAAAGTTGTATTTCACCACCAGGAGCCAATATCTGGCTCTTCTGGTCCAATGACCAGTTATTCCTCCCCCCCAAAAAAGCCTACTGGAGGGGGAAGGTCTTCTCCCCTGGATTACTGACTTCAGGTAACAACCTCGTATTTTTCACAAATGAGCATCATCACTAAAGCCCAGACACAAAGTGGACCAGAAAAAGACAGTCAGAATCCTTATTTCTGCAAGGAACTTGGATCCATTAAATACAGAAAAAAACCTGAGAGGGTGGACATCCTGTGGACAGGGATATAGTAGTGAGGTAGATGGTGTCAGCAGAAAAGTTGTGCTCAATGGGTCTCTTTAGAGGAGATTCTGAAGAACCAATAGTGGACAGCACTGATTTCATCAGGACTGAAAAAGGTGTACCAGCCACTAATGATCAGGTATTAAAAGTGGAAAAATGGTATTCAATAGTCTTCGAAGATTTATGATGCCTATCTGATTCAGAGAGAGCTGAACCACAGGGAGACAAACAGGCCCTGAGATGTCCTTCTGGTTCAGTTATGGGAATAAGAACCAAATTCTTTCTTCTCTAGGCAGCAGCTGCCATTGATTGACCCAAGGAAATCAAAGATGAGGCCACAAATGATTTTGAGAAGCCTGCAAGAACTTACAATGAGGAGATCTGCTGACTCCTACAATTCTGTTCCTGATTACCACAGCCCCAACTGCAATTGTCTACAAGCCACCTGGTTGCTTTTGAGGAGAGAATTCACATTGCTACTGATTTTTCCTTCAGGAAAAGTATGAAATGGGTATGACCAGCTCTTCAAACACACTTGGCCCAGAATCTGCACACTGGACACCCACCCTCAATGGGCAGCTCCCCTGAAGGATGCACTTTTGCTATTCACAAGTCTGCTTTCTCATAAACAAGGTAAAGTTGAAAGTTGAGACAGCAGTAATCTCTACATTGAACTCAAAGAGACGCTCAAAACAGGTATTCGTATTGCAGGCACCACACAGACCATTAAGTTTCAAATACATGTGGCTAAGGAACTAAAAGTACAGAAGTAGTAAGAAGTCTGGTCTACTGGGTAAACCTCTCCCAAAAAGACATCATTTGGGTGTTGAAGGCTGGGTTTGAACCTGTGGTTTATACGTAGTATTGTCTGAGTTTCATGAATTGTTACTTTTTCAAAAATAAAAGGTAACATCTACTAAAATTTAAGAACCCATTTTAAAGTTAGAAAGTCCCTTAGAAAGTCACTATTTGAAGTAAACCTGAACAGTTCAAAAACATATGTCTTTAGAATGAAAAAATTTGTTATGTGCTTTTGATTGAGACTTTTCCCTTCAGTCATCAGAAATGCAGGACACCCTGTTCTCAGCCCACTTAAATGTTCAGACCATACAAATTTGTAATATTTTTATGACTTGTCTGAGAGCTGAGATAATTTACTCTCTTCTTCCTCATTTCTAAATAAAAAAAATCTAAAAATTGGTTCATCTGAGGCATGGCTTTGGGAACAACAACTGTCAGGCTGAGACACTTCCACCCCACAGTGTCCAAGAGTTAGCTCGTTTCTTTCCCAGATGAAATTAAGTCTTCCTCTGGTGAGTGCCAAATTGGCAAAGACAAAAAATGGCAAAAGAGACAAGTGAGACCACGCTCGCTGTTTCCCTCGGTACTCTACACAACAATCCTCATAACTGGCAATAAAAAAATCCCACCTCTTGCTGGATGCCAAATTCTTTCTTCTATTTTATATTACACAGCTGTGCTTGCAGGGAAGAAGTCTACATAACATGGCTTATTCCCAAGACCATTGATCTAGTCCCCTGAAAAGCATCCTGCCCTCATCAGAGGACTTCTCAGAGAGCCAGGAAAGCTGCTCTTCAAGCTGCTTTCTGGTGATAGAGACAAAATGAAACAATATAAATTTATAACAAATGGTAATGCTGGGATCCTGCTTATCTTCACAGCTGATGTACTGTTGCTAAGTCTCTTAGCCAGAAAGATGGACTACAATTAAGTATTACCAGTTGGGATACTTTTACAGTGTCTATTACAAGAACATATTCTGTTTTGAGGAAAAAGAAATATGAAACATGAATAAAAGGCTACATCTAATATCAATAACATTTTGCATTGATTATTTACACAGGATGTGAGTTATCATTACCTGTCTGTTCATTATGAGGGTGATTCAGAACAAAGATTATAACAGCAACATACAAAGGCTTACATGTTGTATTTCTCACTAATCATGATTTGCACAGAAGAACTGCTCTAAAAATGGTAGTTTAGAAGTATTCCATGTCAGTTTGATTCAGCCATTTGACTCTAAAAAGCATAATAATCCAGTTTATTAGATTACTGAACCCACTATCACCACTGCTGGCAGTGGCTGTCATCACTCCTCGTCAGCAGCTTCCCTGATTCCTTCCCATTGAAAGGGGGGCACCGTCAGCGTGAATAGCAGATCTGTTCAACCGGAACTGCTCTGACTAACGGCGTGACCTTAAATTTCACCCTGAATAATGACTCGCGTTTTTGAAAAGAATCAAAATGCAATTCACATCCATCTGCCAAAGCCCAACCACTTCTTGTGGACATTACGAAACAGAATTTCACTGCTTTTCCAACTGTCATCGCTACAGGTAGAAGAGAAATGGCTTTGCCTCCCTCTCCCACAGAGCACAGGTTAAATCCCTTGTGTGCAGAATAAGATAGACATTGTTCACAGAGATGAGTTTGAAAATCGATTCTATTTCCCCCAAATTCCTAGAAGAAGAACTACAGTGAGTTTAACAAAGGTATATTTCTAAAGCAGTGTCAGCTGCTGTGACAGCAAACACTTTGTTACAGTTTTCTAGGAAGATGAGTCATATCGTGTAAAAACACGGTAGACGTGAAATCTCAAAGCACGCTATCTTTTATCAAATCTTTGTTTTCTGTCCAAGATTCTGCAGCCTTACTTGCTACTGTAAACTGTACGAATGAGCATGAATATGTCCAAGGAAATCCTAGAAACTATGGCCTTTCATGGTTGGCACATTATAAATGCTTCAGAGCACAGAGTCTTCTTTCAGCAGATGCAACAATTAAAGAAAAAAAAGGTGAAAAAAGCCCCAAAACGTGAGGAATGAGAACTTAATGTTTATTGGTTGTAGTTTAATTTAAATTAGCAAGAAATGGCTTATGGCACTGAAGCATTTGTTTAAAGTTTCAAAAAAAAACCCAACTTGTAACCAAGTATTAGTCCTTTCTTTACATCATTTTCTCTACCTTATCTTAAAAAGCTAGCTAACAAGAAGAGAGGAGGAATTTCTGCAGCACATCCTAAAATCTGAGCTAGTCATTCTAGACTAAAAGATTAGGAGGTGGTAAAAGTAAAATTAGTATTTCTCAATGCACAGCGTAATAGAAATCACATGTTAACATGGCCACTCTCACAAATAACACTGCATAGAGGGCCAGGGAAAAAGTAAATCCATTTCCCTCTCCTACACTTACTGGGGAAAAAGGTGAGTGTAAAGATCCTATCTAAAAGGTGTAATCTCAGCTGCTAGTGAGGCAAATGCTATGGCTGTGGGTAGTTCAAAAGGACCCTCTTCTAAGAGATGGCAGCTCCTTCTCCTTGCCACGAACGGGCTTTTCAAAGCTGTGTATGCGCACTGCCCCACTCTGCAGCTGCAGCAGGCAGGCAGTGCACACAGGAGGAAAGGATCTAGTGAAGCCTTTTTAAAGGAGCAAATCCTTTGCTCTATTTGAAAATGGATACAGAGTCCCAGAAGCACAGAGTGGCTGAGGCTGGGAGCTCATCTGGGGCAACCCCCCTGCTCAAGCAGGGCCACCTGGAGCCAGTTGCCCAGGAACACGGTGAGAATGGGGATTTTTTTTTTTAACTCATGAGGAAAAAATGAAACAGAACAGTACTTGTACATACACCTACTTGTATATGCCCATACTTGCATATGTATGTGGAAAAGTATACTAAGCTACAATGGGGGATATATTGAAAGCATCCCTATTTCCATGCAAATTTTCCACTGTGTAATGGACAGGTGATAACCTGGAAAAAAAAATACTCTTCACAGAACCCTACAGTGTATGTCTTAATAGGATTTTTTTTAATTATTATTTTAAAAATCCTAAAGTCTGTTTCGCCTGGAAGCAAATGTCACTTCATATTATGAAAGAGCTCTTCTACAGTTTGCACTTAGTACAAGAATTTGAGATATACGATCTCAACATATGAGCTATTACATGTCATTCAACTTTGCATTTTCCAAATTCTTGGTCAGAGAATGAATTGGAAGCCCCATGCCCATCACAACCACAACAAGCCCCAAACCTGCTTTACAATTTGATTTTAAGAATGGTAATTTCCAAGTATCAAATGTATAATTTCTGATCATAGAATGGTTTGGGTTGGAAGGGACCTTAAAGATCATCTAGTTCCAACCCCCCTGCCATCAGCAGGGACACCTTCCCCTAGACCAGGTTGCTCAAAGCCTCATCCAACCTGGCCTTGAACACTTCCAGGGAGGGGGAAGCCACAGCTTCTCTGGGCAACCTGTTAATGTTAAAAATAAATAAATCTTAAAAAGGTGAATGCTTGTGACAGAGAAATTCTGATTTCTCAAAATTGTACTGACTTAACATTAAACTGGTCATAACATAACTTCCAGGTATAATTTTGCTAATTATTCACATGGCAGTCTGCTGAACATTTAGCATATATTTTAAATCAAACCACACATGCAAGATGTAATAATAACCTTAAATTATATATGCTCTACATTTTTATTTTAGGTCTGTTTCTTTTAATAAAATTTGGATGCAATTAAACAGCACAGCTGTTAAAATCTAATGACATCTAAGGTCATGATGGATACAGAAGTTTATTCCAAACCAGTGCAATCTCTCCATGTAAATATTTCTGTTGGCATAAAATATAGGCTCTTTGCTTATAATAGGAGATAGCATTGCAACTGCGGGCACAGAGAAATAGAGCTGTAACACTAGCATGAAAACTTACAGTATTATACTGCATAGAGAAACACTTATTTTATGTAGATTGGCTTATACTGCAGAAGTTTGTCATTTCCCATTGAGATAATTTTGAAGTACAGGGGTGGGGAAAAAAATCAAAACTATTTAAATAATTGAAATAATTGGCGTGCATAGAGGCAGCAAGGCTAGAGAAATTTATGCCACTATTTGAAATTTATCCACGTCAGCAACGACTACAACCAGCTACCATGTTAAAAGCTTTGAGAAACCCGTGTAAAGCAAATGCATGGCTCCCAGGACGTGCAAACTTGCCTAAAGTCTGTGCTTGAGTAGCAAAAACTCTTTCAACAGACACGTCAAAACCAAGATGGGTGTGGAAAGGGAGTGCTAGGGCTCCCTGCTCTGCTCCAGATGGGTGTGACGAGGGACAGGCGGGTACGGCCCCAGCTGATCCCACCCGGGAGCAGGATTTCAGGCACTGCAATCCTGGACTCGTACCTAGGACTGCTTCTTTAACTGATCCCAAGAGGTTTGTTCAACATCCCTGCAGCAGGGATATTTAAAATATCATGTAAGCACTGACTTCAGAAGATGATGGCAAATCAGATGTAACATAGTGTTTGTCTGCTTTCATTGGCCTGATGCTACTTGTTGGCTTTACTGCTCTAGAGGTAGGAAATACAACTTGCATACAGAGAAGGCCACTCTTTCAAGCAGCCTCGAAAGAATCACGCCATTTAGAAACTGAAAATCTCTAAGGATTGCTGAAGTATTGAGCACCATCTATCCTCATTAAAGTTATCAGGTGAAAGATCCTTAGGGTTTAGAGAGCTGGAATAGAAAGAAGGAGAAAAGATCACTGGAATCTATATTTGGGCTGTTATTCTACTGACACATCATAGGGGAAGATGGCATCCTACAAAAAAAGATACTGAAGGTATTTACGGGGATATAATGACAAACAAGAGAGATCAGAGCAGGCTAAATGCATCTGCTTTTTCACCTCTTGGAAGCTACATGAGCATTAAGGATGGTGATCACTCAAAAGTCCCAGACTTCATTTATGAAAATAACAGAAGACCCACAAACACAAATTAGATTGCAGAAACTGAATAAGTTAAAAAACTGCACACGGCTACACTTCTAAGGAAGACCAACAGCTGCTACAGCAGCTCAGTCAAATGGACACTTTCCAACAGTTTTGAACATGAAGACACCTCCTTCCAAGGTGCATCAGAAAGAATGCAGTGGTTTTAAAAAGGCATGTGGAGATACTGAAGAGTTTCTCAGCTTAGTTTACCCATTTTTTGGTATACTTTTGCTGAAAAGCTTCCCTTCCATTTATTTAAAACTACATTCTAGTTGAGTGTCTTTCTGATTTAGGTTGAGGACCTTTTTCCTGCAATGAAGGAGAATTCCTAGTGGGAGCTGGGTCTCTAAACAACTAGGGAAATGACCTGATGCTGTTTGGTCTGCTGTATTGGACTGTTGTAGCCATGGCTACACAGACCCTGCAGGGTAAGAAGCACCATGCTTCTCACAAAGGGAAATAACATTTTATAATTAGTTTATTTCCCATATGGGAGTTTGTCCTCCATAATCTGTTTCAGACGCAGGAGTAAAACTCAGCCATGCTTGTAAAAGAAACATAGTTCATATGGCCAGCCAAATCCCTCACATCGGAAAGGCAAGGGTTATTTGAATTCACCACCGTGCATTTAGTCCCCAAAGTAAGACCTAGGTCTCAAGAATGACTCAAGTATGACTTCTGGAAAACTCAAGCTCCTAATGCTTGGCTTAAAGTGTCACTACAAACTGTTAGAAATTAAGACAGTTAAACTCCAATTTTTGATCCTGTCACTGCAGAGGACTCATCTATATCTACTCCATCTACACAAAGAAAGATGAGGGGGGTAAGAGGCAGCTGAGTGCCTCTCTCCAGCAGTTCTTCTGACTTCAGTTTCCTTGCAAGGGTGGGAGCCAGTGCACTTCCTGCCCTAAATAAAGTTATTTTCCAGTGCTCTTTTCCTGACAGGAAATAAGGCAACCCAAGCAGCAAGCATCCACTGCTTCAGTGCTTGTCTTTCTTCTTGGGAGAGAAGGGACAAGATGCCCATCTAGATTGAGCACTGGGGGAATCCCCCTTGCTGATGTTTCCCATCCTAGATTGAGCACTGGGGGAATCCCCTTTGCTGATGTTTCCCATCCTAGATCTTTTCTTTTTGCCAGCTGCTACAAATGATTCAGACGGGAAAGCAAAGCCAGGGGGATAATTTCCGTCTAAAATTGAATGCAGCCCTGAGACTGCAAGGAAAATCAGAAGGACATTTAACTGTCCAAACTGAAATACAGTTTGATATTTATCAAGCAAGCTCTGTCACACGGAGAAACACTGGAGCAGTTGTCACTGCAATGACAAAAAAACTGAGAGAAGTACAGTCCGGGCTTGAGCTTTGACATTTGCCCGAAGATCTGAAGTTAATAATTTATATGGCAAAGCCATTCCCACACTAAGCTATTAAAAAAAAAAACCAAACCCTAAAGAGTGAACATCTAAATAAAGCATGAGGCATACATGAGAGGGGAAAGGCTAAGGGCAAAGACAGCTCACCAGAAACCCACGCTGAAGAAACCCAAGGAAAAATGTGACCTGTACTGAACATTTTCAAATATCACAGGAAAGCTGATACTTTTTATTTTTTTCCCCTCTGGTTAGGAATCATTTTTCTGGCTTGTGAGTATCACAAGAGTGAAGAGAAGAGAGTCTGTTACCTTGAATATCATCATTGAAAGTGCAATACTTGTTACGGTACTTATGCAGGAGGCGGAATGCATTAGCATTAGCAAAATCCTCAAATTGAATGAGGCAGTTCATGCCATACCTAGAAAGACAAAAAATAGTGCATTACATTACAAATAATACATAATTGTATATTAAAAAGCTATTAACATTTGCAGTGAGATTTGGAATACAAGTATAATATGATTTATACATCCGCTAACATGTTTCTGTTATATCCTGTACCTTGACATTCAGGACTAGACTACTAATGGACTACATAAGTAGACTACTAATATGGTTTACTCAGTTCTAAGTTAAGAATAAAAGAAGCCTTCATTTCCCTGCAGACAACCCAACAGAAGTCTTCGCTGAGCAATCAGCTAGTGAGTAAAAGACCTGACCCCATGAGGAAGGTAGTAAAAAGGTAACAACACATTTAGAACATGGATTTTATTTTATTGTCATTATGCAGGTCAGCAGCACGGCATCACTCACAACGCAACGCTCGACCATTCTTATTACAAAAGAGGTATTGATCAGAAACACAAATGATAAACATGTGAGAACATTTTAAGGAAGGAAAGTGATAGCTGCAAATTTGAACTGAGTTACACTTGGCTAACATACACTACAACTTTGGGCATATGCAGAAACAAGGTTATCTACATTTCTTACATCTACTGTTTCACTGGATTGTCAAAATTTATTTTCTGACATGAATACTAGATGTTTCTTAAACAGTATGCTAAGGATCAATGTTATCATACATTTCAATGTTTTCTCATCCTTGTAGCTCTATGAAATAGTTCAAACTGATATTTCCTATAGTTCTTTGATATCTCTGTATACTATATTGTGAAAATACAGTATGCAGTTGCATCAGATGAACAGTTTCTATCATTTAGCTGATATGACTATCCGTGTCAGTTCAACAGCACGGGTAAGTAAGTTTTGATGAACCTTGGGGTAACAGTCTCAAAGTTAATGCCAATCACTACTTTTCTTGGAAACAATCTACTGTGTTACATTGCTGCCGTGGACCCACCATGTAGCAAGGCTGCCCTATGAACAGGGAGAGAACAGCAGCGTTTTTCTGGTATAGGTAGGTGCCTATGTTGACTTCAACAGGCATAAGAATCTCAAATATATGTAAAAATTACCGAAGAGAGGAACACAGGAGTTTGTTTGGTTTTTTTTCAAATAAGAAAACTCCAGACTCGTGGCACGAAACTCATATGCCAATACCTAGGTGTGCCAACAAGGTTACTCCTAAAACGAAAATTACTAGTAATGTTAATTTAATATTACTACTATGCATCCTCCAGTCCTTAGATGCATTCCATAATACTGCCTCTGGATTCCTTGTTTAACATTCTCATATGGCATTTTCAAATACTTTCTTAAACAAAACAAAAATCCAATCACAAAACACCCAAAAAACACTGAAGACATTTCTAGACAAAAACTATGCAAAGATTAAATTCAAGCTTACAGCACATTCACAACAGGAAAAAAAAAAAAAAAGTAACTTGAATACTGTCGATCTCATATAGGGATAAAAAAGTAAAACACAAAAAGTTTAAAATATAGGGTTAGTACTAAAATTGTCTATACAAGTTTGGACCTGAAAATATCACATAAACATTATCCCACCCTGGAATAATATTACAAGAAAAGTTATTTTAAAAAAAAGTATTTTAAACTTAAATAAACCTAATGGCAATTTGTACAGATTAAGGAACCATTTGATTAAAACTTTTAAAAAAATATTGCATTAAGATGTTGCTATGAAATTATTACCACTAGGGTCTAACAGGGCAAGACTTCAACAGCACACATTCTGTTTGAGCTAAAGGAGGTTTTTCCTTATCCATTAACAGCATAAACCCACGGCGGATAGTTAAGCAGTTCCTGCTTCACCTAGAAAAGCAATACATACATATGCTGAGCAGTTCAGTATAAATAATCCACTCTAATGTTAATCAAGTTTTTCTTTAAGTGACACATGTGTTTGGCAACCACATTAAGCAAAGCCATCAATATAAAAAAAAGGGACAAAAATTCCTGTAACCAAATTAATTTCCATGGTAATCATATATTTACAGCCATATTAGAATTAGCCAAAACTACTGGGATTCCACTGGCAGGAATGGTAATCCCTGCTGTATATAAATACATCTTCAGGTTTTATGGAAAAACTTGGGCTTTTTCAGCAGCATAATGACAGACAACTTTTTAAAAGAGAATTTGGCGACCCAATAATTCAGTACAGTAAATCACAACTGAGTTAAAATAAGAAATTTAAGCTACATTTCAATAGTTAATTTAAATTTCTAGCCTGATTCAGTATCTGACACGAATTTCTGTGATTCCATAAGGGTCCGGGAGCTGACAGTTGGATAATAATATGAAACTAACGAGATTAACACTCTGGAATCCTGGAGCTTGGTTAGAAGTGTTTCTTGGATGTCATTAAGCCAATGTCTGTTTCTTTATTTTACCATATATAACATTCCATTTTCTCATCTGCATTTGATTTTTCTCCATTTTCTTACCCATTGCCTTTGTAGAAGTGAATCAAAACTCTCTGTGAATTATATTAAATCAGTGTCCCTGTAGAAAACACACATACTATATTGGGCACACTATCCATACTACTTCTCTGAGCAAGATATCATGACTGTTTAATTAAAATGGAAAAAATGCAGGCAGTCTAATTCTGGGCCTCTGAGATTTTGGTACTATAGCAGAAAAATTTCTAAGCAGCATTCTTATTTGTTGCAAATGTTACACATGACACCCAGGTAAAAACCTGAGACTTCAGTGCTGCCCATGACCAGTAGTACCTCATAAGATTTGTGAAATTTGAGGTCTATCAAATCCAGTCACTGGGTACCCATGATAGACATGAAAATGACACAGAGCTTCTCTGCTTGGAGTATTCCTGTCCTCAAAACCACGAACAGATGAGACATACAGCTGAGGTAATACAAAATAGTTAATTTATCTCTGTCATTCTAGAAAATCCCCTTGCAATAGTGAATTGGCTGTAAAGGTGCCACACAGCTCTGGAAGCAGCGACCGTATCAAAAGAGACATCAATCCTTCTATGACTTCCACATCTTACTATTGCAAACACTTACAGCAGAAAGTAGAGCCAAAACCTAAAGTTATGTTCACAGCCAACAGCTCAGTTTCACTTTCCTTGCTGTATCACTCTGCAATAACTTTCCACCCCTATCGCACTCTGATGGATGGTTTTAGGCTGTGGGTGTCTCCACTACAAAGGGAAACCGTTTGAATGAACCCTCATGAAAGCAGAACATGTCCTCTCTGTTTGCACCTCACACCCTATTGTCATCACAAATTTTCAGTTTGGAACTGCAGCTCTTCATAGGTGTGTCTGTTAGACAAATGACTACAGGATGAAAAGGGAACCAAGCACTTTATTGCTTGCCTATGTGCAGTCATCAAATCGTTTTGTGCCTTCCACACGACTCAAATTCCAGCAACTCTGGGCCACTACCATGCTGTAATCCATATTATCTTCCAAACACTATGGAAAAACAAAGCATACAGCTACCATAAAACCTGACAATCTTAAATCTATCATCAATATTTTATACAGATATTGCATAGATTGACTTCACTGAGTTTCCTCAGATGACACAAAGTGAATGAGCAGGTAAGTCCAGAAGCAAGTAACTGAGATTTGCTACAAACAAAATAATCAGATTTTAAACCACCACTGAATAGTTGTGGTTGACTGCTACAGGGGGCACGTTAAAATCAAAAGGCCTGCAGTTAAGTGCCAGCAGCTCCAGGAAGGACAAGAAGATTAGGAGGCAAAGTTACAAGGAACTGTCATGATAGAAAACACTGTAAGATATATTCCTCCATATTTTAAAAGTAGTGGACTACATATCATTATAGTGTGAAATAAGGGTGTTAACCTGTATACTGCTTATCTAAATAGCATCATATACCTTATGATCATCATATACCTTAGGAGAATTTCACCTCCATATTTGAAATTTTAAGGCATACACATTTAAAATGTAACATAAAATCCTTTTAATTCAAATGTGTCACCAATGATAGAGTCACAGGAGCAAGCAGACATTGTATGCAGTTACAATGCTGTAAACATGAGTCACATACAACGTATCATGCCTTACAGCTTGCCCAAAACAGACACAACATTTCTCCAGCTATCGCTGCTCTTGGCCCTGAGATACATAAAGGGTAATTGGGGAAGTGGAGAAACACATAACTAACATGCATATTGAAAGGAGGCACATGTAAATGGAAGAGAGAACCTATCCAGTGGGCATCAACTGTCTTAACCAGAACACTTGAAGAAACGATGGATCTAGTCCTAGACTACCAAAACTAAGAAAATAAATGAAAATGTGGGAGGCATTCCTTCTCAGTGTGCAACCATAACAAGTAACCTAGCGAATTCTTAACTGTTTTCTTGCTCTGGAAAACAGAAAACTTTTCTGATAGCAATAGCTTGGCTTGAGTAACCTGGTTAGGACTGCTGGATGCTTGCAGGCAAGTGTTTTGTAGCTGTGAATTCCTCCTCTCTTCTGCCTCTTTGAGATCTGTCACTGTGGTAGATGACTAAACATGCATAAATCGTCTTTAGAAAGTAATAATTCAGATCACTGTTCCCCCTTGTAAATCCTCTTTTGTCATCCACATCTTTTTGTGTACTTTGATCTTAGCCTCTTGCTCCAAGTCATAAAAGCAGTCTGAATCAGGATCCAACTGGACAGAAGTTCAAAGCCATCTTACCTTTTTCTGTTATGGACAGAAAATACAGACAAGGCTGGTGGCAAGCATGTAACACCAGATTTGTCATCAAGCATGCGAGGCAAATGCTGGACAATGGATTAAAAAGAACCATCACAATGAATAATGTGTGGTTGCCAGAAAACACTGTTTCCAATACTTCTCCCAATTTACAACATATTTTGTGTGACAGTCCTAGCTTAGTTTTCCCCGTTTATAAATAAATTTATATTCGGTTGTCACTGACAATAATGTTAATCTTTCAAATCATTCTACAGATTATATCTTTATGTAACAGGCTGG